TAGTAGCCTTCAACAATGTGTTTGTCAATGTTTGCAATTACTAAATGTGATTGTAATGAATTGCTAATTAAGTCCCACAAACGAAGTGGGGGACTTCTTGTTTTACTTCTTTTTTTCTTTTTTTGCTTCTTCCTTACATTTTGTCCACGCGTTTTCTCATAAACTGTTTGATGGATTCCGATGAACCTTAACATGAATATTGGGGCGTGTGCCTAGATGTGCAAGACCCTTTATTCGCAGCTGCGCATCTAAAATGGCTGCCGTATGCTGGGTTCTAATTAATCGAAATTTACATATCGTTTGTTTTCACTCAAATTTGGTATATAGGTGTATTTTGGCACTGCGAACGCAACTGCGGGGGTTTGGGGGACTTCTGTAATGGTCCCCCATTACAATTAGTACTTGTTACATTTGCCTCAAATCGTATGGATATACGGGTATGTTAACAGTTGCTTTTATGTACCTTGTGCCTCATGCATATATAACAGGATCGGAATATATGATATTGATATATGTATTTGTTAGAAGTTAACTCGTCGTGCTTTACATGTTGTTCTGTGACGACTCGGGAGTTAACCTGTATCTCATATCAAAAACCGTAGTATTTAGAGGTAGTTTTGAACTTTTTGTCAATTAAGAATGACACATTTAAAAAAAATAAAAGAAACGCTTAATAACTTTGGCGTATTTCTTAATGATTATATCTTACATAATAAGTAAAATTTACATAAATCTTAAATATAACGAGATTTGAGGCTTAACCTTATACACATGTAGCTAATTTAATTTATGTTTCTCTCTTTCCCATTGATGACAGGAGACCTCATCGTAACGTTCCGTATTAAATAACGATGTTTTATTTTTATTTTACAGAGCCTTTACGTGTACCAGCTCTGTTATCTAATGAATCAATGTGGTCGTCGAACGACGTTTAGGGGGACCTCTCGACATGGAACAGGTAAGCATGCCCTACACGTAACATTCATTGTAAGTAGTCGAACGACGTTTAGGGGGACCTCTCGGCATGGAACAGGTAAGCATGCCCTACACGTAACATTCATTGTAAGTAGTCGAACGACGTCTAGGGGGACCTCTCGGCATGGAACAGGTAAGCATG